TTTCTTCATTCCAAAAGTATCCTGTTACGGAGCAGTGAGAAACCGTCTTTGTGGAGGTGTCAGACCACGTAGGTCAATGATTGTACAAGATGGGATGAAGAAAATATGTAGGCTATAAAGAATTTTGGAAAGGATGGTCAAGTATAAGTAGAGAACAAAGCCACACTGGACAATGACAGACTGCTACAGAAAAATATGTAGATGACACAGCTTTTGTCTAGGATGTGTCTCACCATATAAGACACACTTTGATCCAAAGAGGTCTGGATCTCCACAAAATGTGTACCATGTTACTTACCTGTGAAACATATGTAGCGGATAAGGATAATCCAGGCTGATTTCACTTACTGTCCTGCCCTAGTTTTGCTCTAATTTAGCAATTACAATGAAAATAAATATTTTTAATGAATTATATTTTTTTGTCCTCTTTAAAATCAAGTAGACAGACTATGAAGGGCAGAGAGAAGAAGCATTTATTCATTTTTCTTTTGTCTTCAATATGAGGCAGGTTTAAGATACAAAATGTAAAAAAAAAGAAATGTAAAAGAGAATTTGAATACACGTGCACAAAGAGGAAAAGACATTGCGAGCTCTGGTGTTACAATGTCTTGAGTGCTGTAAAAGTACAAACAAATAGATCTATTTAATAGAAAATTAGGTGTTTTTTACACTGTTCACATTTAATATAATACTGATGTGTGTATGAGACTCCCTTTACCTTACATTCTAAAAAGAAAAGGGGCTTTGAAAATGCTACAGTAATAACATTTGTACAGTAACTCTCTGCCATTGGGGCTTTGTCGCCTTTATATAAAGAATGTTATTTCCCAGGACCCTTGGGAACTGGCAAGAGTCTTACCTTAGGACATGAGCCCTCAAAATAATATCCCTGATGATGACGGATTCCAAAATAGACTTGGTTAGGAAAGAGAGGCAAAAATCTGAGCATGAAGGTTTCCCGCTGATCCATGTAGAACTAACATTCTTCCCTATAACCAGCAGTGCCTACGGCTTCAACCACTATCAATACCAATACAATTGAAAAAAAAATTAGAATGTCACTTCTTAAATGCTCCCCATTTAATATTGCCATTAGCGGAAAAGCTTGATACCGCTCATTGTGTACTGCAGTAAGCTTTTCTGACATACCAGTGTTGGTACAGATGTGCATGCTACAGTACTTCAGAGAGACATTGTAAATTGCCTTAATAACCTGAGACAAAAATATTTATTTGTATTTATCATAAAGCATACAAAATCTGTGAAACCTTGCTGTAAATAGAAATTGTTATGGATTCTGAACACTTTACACCAGATAATAATGTTTAAGGTTATACTGATGAACAAAAGAGCAATAGGTTCATATTCCACATAGCAATATCACAAAAATCAAATTCAAACATAGCTATTATTTCTACAAAAGACAGTGCTACAGTATGTGCACCTGGCAGTTAACATGTACACTTACAAACACACATTACAATGGTATTTATATGTATATAACCATTATGACTCTTTATTAAATCACCTTAAATGAATCCAGTCTGTTTTTTGGTTCAGTGGTGCATAAATAATGCTCTAACCTCCAGGAGTCATTATTAATAATGGTCTAACCTCTAGGAGTCACTATTGTACTTTTTACTTAAGCCATTGCTGTCCTACACACACATGGACATACTGAAAAAAACACAAGACATTCAAACAGATATTTGAGGCTTGAACTTTCTGGATCTCAGCATTCAACACTATTCTCAAATGGCAAACTGAAAAGGAGAGCTGAGGTGGCAGGGACAAGAGTGGTCTGATTGGTGTGATTCAGGGCTGTGGTGTTGCAGATAGGCTTTACCAGCTGGAGTCCTCATTGAGAAGCCAAAACTTACAAGGCATTGGGCACCGACAGCTCAAATGTAGGGAAAGGATTCCCTTCTGTGATAGTTAAGGAAGTGGGGGATGAGCAAGACAACACTCACCAATTTTTATCGTAATACGATTGAGTCCTGACTGGTGGTATTACGGTTTGGTATGGTGGAGCTACAGTACAGGACAGAAAAGCCATACAGAGGGTTGTGAGGTCCGCGCAGAAAATCACTGGTACCAAGCTACCCTCCATCGACCTGATATATCTCTTCCACTGCCACAACCGGGTTCGAGCTTTAATTTGGGACCCAATTCACCCTGGCCATGATCTGTTTTCACTCCTGGGTTCTGGTAGGAGGTATTTCTTTCCCCAAGTAGTCCGCATCATAAACAGCTCAAATTAGCACCTGCACATATTAGCACCTGCACTTTAAGGTACTGCACTGTTTGCACTATGTCCCGTAGGCTATATTCTAATGTCTATTGTCTACATTTATTGTCCATGTCTGTATGGCATTTGTGCCTATTTTTTCTCTCTCTAATGTTACTGGGTATAGCTGAACAAGTAAGCATTCCAATACTCTTGTGGTATCTGGCAAATAAAGAAATCTTGAATCTTGCATCTTCTCATAACTGCCAGGCAATATATGTCAACCTTGTCCATTTGTTCATTCATGCTGTTCATCTTGGCGGTG